AGCCTTCCCCCCCCGTGAAACCGCCCGCGTGTCGCGACAGCGGTGTTCCGTGCCGGAGGGGCAACCGCGGAGGTGACGTCGCGACGGGCAGCCCAGCGCTCTGCACCGAGCCCGCGCCTCATCCCTGTCTCCCGCTGCAGGTATGGGCCATCCCCCGCCGGAGTCCAGCCTGGCCGCAGTCAGCGCCGCACACCCGAGGACCAAGCGATGCTCCTGCAACAGCTGGATGGATAAGGAGTGCATTTACTTCTGCCACCTGGATATCATCTGGGTGAACACACCTGGGTGAGCACAAACGGGGCTTTTGGGCGGGGAGGTGGGGGCTCTGCTGATGTGTGAGTGACTGTACTTTCTGGTCGAGGATGGGGTTAGGTTAGAGCGGGGTAAGAAAGGGTCCCAATGCCGTGAAGTGCTTGTAGCACCTGCTCCGGAGACCACTGCGAGTCCAATCCTTTCCAACATCTAGAAATGCACCAGCTGTGCTTCTGCTCTGGAGTTTCAGTATAACCCACAGGGGCGGGGGGTGAAAGCACGGGGCACTGCTTCCTCACGGGTTCGTCTTTTGCTGAGATTTGTACCTGTGCAAGCCGAAAGCCAGCACCGAGATGTTACAGCTGCAAGTCGGAAAGTTGCTTTACTCACTTGCGGGCTGTAACCCTGACTGCTGACTGCCAATATTGTTAATGAGACGGTGGTGGGTTGGCACTAAAGTCCTGTGGTTGCCAAGTCCTGCCCTCAAGAATGCTAAAGAAGCTTTCTGCGCAGTTTCAGGCCAATGGCCATCACACTGTAGCAAAACACATGTACTCAGGTGTGGTTATAATCACGCTTGCTAACGTGCAATTACAACTCGCTGCTTGCTCGGCGAATAGTTGCAGTCACTGCCAATCCTAAACCCTCTGGGAGAGTAGATTGCTATCAAAGATGGAGTGGGAATGTGCTAACAGCTCTGAAAGCATGCTGTGATCAGAAGAACCTGTTATGGCCCCAAGACATCTTGATTTGTACTATGTCCTCTGTGTGTTAAAATCCACAGGGGGAAGGGAAAACCCTGACATCTCTGTGCTTGAGGAACTGTCTGCTTGCAGGTGGGGCTGGTGGAGCAGGGCAGCCACGCTCCTCATGTGCTTTGCCACCCGGGTGAACTGCCAGCTCGCCCAGCCCATGTGGCGACCCTTGCACGGGCACCTGGGCTGCTCCGAGGAGAGAAAATTCCACCTGCACCCCAGCACATACTGGCACGACAATCTCCCTGGGAGGGGTAGGGTGGGGAAAAGAGTAGGTGGGAGAGGAGCTGGAGTTTAAAGGCTTAGACATATCAGTGACCTTTTCACCTTATGTCTGTAGATGAGTCTTTTATTATCCCGGCACTGGCTTGGCTGCCTCCCAGGACTGTGTTATAAACCTGTTGACTAATAAAAAGTTAGGTGCATAGCTGATTTCTTTTGTTTTTAACAGACACACCGCTCCCTATGGCTTGGGAAGCCCGCCAAGGCGGCGCAAGAGATCGCTCGGCAGGTGCGAGTGCTCGCACTCGAAGGACAGCGTCTGTGCCACCTTCTGCCGGGCGAAGCCTGGGTGAGTCAAGAGGGTCCTGGGGATGTCCTTGGGGGCTGCTCGGCGAGGGTGCAAGCAGGCAGACAAAGCTTAGGAGCTGGAGTAACTCCGCAGCCTCCCTGGGGACGGCTGCGCAGCTCTTAGCAAGCAGCTGGAACTTGTCTAGTGGCTTTCATACCCCTCCCAAGAGGCCCTGGCAAAGTGTCACTAGGGTGTTTTTGTTGTACAATAGTTTCTTTACTAGCTGATATGAAGCAATGTTACCTCCATCCCTCCTGCTGCCGGGAGGCTGAGGAGGTGCTGGGTGCGCTGGTGGGAAGGGAGGAGCTGGCAGCAGGCTGGGAGAGGGACAAGCAGAGGGTGTGAAGCTTTGGAACACCAGTGTCTCCTGCGTGGCTCAGGTGGGAGAGGCTGTGGGACAGTGGGACTGCTGAGAACTGGGACTTGGAAGTCAAGTATCTTCTGTACCTGGTTCTCTTTTTTAGTGCGTGTGGGCTCTCAGTTGTCTCGCTTCAGCCCGCGGTGTAGGAGTGCTTACACTGTGGGGAGCAAAGACCCTGTAGACATCTGCAATTAATTTCGCATTAAGGAGTAGTTAAAATCCCCGATGATTAAATAAGACTGTGAATAAAGCAAGGAAAGGACAGAAGGGAGCTATAAGTAGCTCTCAAATAGCTGCAATTAACCCTTCAAAAGCATGCAGTTGTCTTAGTGTGTCACTGGTGACATTACAGCAACACTCCCCCTGGCACTTACCAGATGCGTGGCTGGATGCGAGTGCTTCATGCGTGTCCTCTTGCTCATTAGGTACCTCCAGAGTCTGAAGCTCCCAGTGAGCCGTGGAGCATCAATGAAATCTCCGCAGAGTGATGAAGTGAGGCCTTCCCATCACGGCCTGCTGAGAGCTCTCAGGTGAGCATGCCACTTAAACCTGTTCTGAACTTCCCTCATAAGCACTTTAAAAACTGCGGTTGTGACCCCAGACTGCAGTTACCACTTAGATTTGACCTGACTTCCCCCTCTTGTCTCTCTTTAAGTGAGTAGACTTGACTATTTCTGCTCTCTCTAGAAAAGAAGGCTAACAGCTGGGGGAACCAGGGTTGCTTATGTCTTTCCACAACTAGAGGAGTATTACATAAAATATAATTCTTCGTTGAAGTGGGAAGTTCCTCTGATATGGGATGGGCACATGGGTGATATACAAGAAGGGAAGGACAGCATCAAGTAGGAAAATCATTAATTGGGCAGCAACTTTGGACCAAAGGAAACAGCTTTTCTCACATCACATCAGTGAGTCACGGAACTCACTGCTGGAAGTAACTATGGACTCCAGGAGTGTAAATGAGTTCAAGGGAGCTGGCAAATTGAAGGAGGATTGGTCCATTGGTGGCAGTTAAATCACTTGAGAAGAATCAAGAACACAAGAAGCATCACTTGGGTCATGTCTTGCTGCAGGACTCCTTGAAGCCTCTGCCACTGGTGGAAAGGGATATTGGGCTAGACAGATCTCTGCTGTGGCTTAAGACAGCTCCAGCTAGAAATTACCCCTCTTCCTGCCCCCGTCTTCTGCCTCAAAAAAAGCTTGGCGAGGACTAGATAAATATTGTAATATGAGCTGTTGCTGAGTAGTAGGAAAATGGACTGGAGAGTGAACGTAGTGTCTTTTCTGTTTACAGGGATATTGCTCTCTCCAGTCTGCAGTTCAGCAAGCATCAGAGAAACGCACAGCCAACAGTTTTGCCTTGGAAGAAAAACATCTGGAAGAAGAAGAGATAAGAAACAGGTGCATATCAAGTTCACCAGAAGAATCTGGAGTCCTGTGGGTGCCACTAACTCCGCAGCCGGTAGAGCTGAAGGAAAGGCCATGAGAGGAAGGGGGAAGAAGTGGAAGTCTCCATGCTCCTGTTGCATGAACCATGCACTCCATAGACTGTTGTAAAGGGAAAACTGTCTCTCTATACAGTCACAGATGTGTTGTGGAGCTGAACTGTGCCTTTTTGGATTGGCAGGGGTCTTGCTAGTAGAGTACTAGCTTAACTCTGCCTTGGAGTCCTAGGCAGAGGGTCAGCCCGTGCTGGGCAGTAGAATCACTGACAAGCCAGATGACTCTGTGCAGTTCTGGACCGGGCAGCACTGAGCCTGTATCGCTGGCCTGGTCTGCTCTGCCTTTGCGCCGTCTTTGAGCATGGTTCCAGCTTGGCCCCGTTCAGAGGTGGTTTGGCTGGTCATCATAGATGGGATAAGCTGCCTCCAGCGTGAACCCACCTTTGCGCTTTTTTCTCTTGCTTGTCAGACAGTGCGATGTGCATACGAATGAGACTCCTGTGGTAAAACAGCTCCCAGCTTTTATTAAAAAATGTATATCATCTAGAAGCCTGGAAGCCAACTGAGTAGTCAGTGGCATTCTTTGGCTGAGAAATTCACTGAAGGGCCATCCTGAAGTGGCTCTTGTTTAGGTGGAGGATAGCTTGCTCTGTGCTGGAGCTTGCATCAAATCCAAGCATGACCCCTGCCATTGGGCACAGCAGTAGCAGAGAGGGGACTGAAATGGAGCTGTAAAGCCCCATGCATGCTGCCCCGCGTAGCCTGGGGGAGTGAGCCCCGCTGGGTCCAAGGCAGAGCCGAGCTGCTAATCTGGATGAGTTCAGTGCTGTGAATCTGTCTCATCTCTTTGGATGTACCCTTAGTAGGGTAGAGTACTTCCAGCTCTTAACCTAATATCCCAGCTTTCAGCTGTGCCTGAAAGGAAAGGCTAGGGGCAGACGAGGTGGGTGGTGGGAAAATAGCACGCAAAGGCTTGCTTGCTGCTTTGCTTAGATCAGGTCCCTGAGTTGGACTCTATATTAAATAAATGACCAGTATACGGATAGCATGTCACTATGAGAAGAGCAACCTGAATAGAGAATGCATTAGGCAAGGGGCAGCCGGGTGGGACTGATGTGGATAGAAGATTTGCTAAGAAGAAAGCACAGCACTGTCTGCACAGCTGTCAAAGAAAGGCTTGGAATTAAATCCATGCCAGAATCAGGGCTGCTTCCCCAGGCCCAGAGCAGTGAAGTGCTGCTGGCCCAGAGGAGGGAAGGAACAATTTGGGGAAAAAAACTGAGCCCAGGACCTAGAAACCAATCTTGCAGGCAAACAAAATCTCAAGGCTCTGGAGCTGTATCACAAATGCACTTCTGTTTGCCTGGGCAGATGAATTTCTATTATAAATTGTGGCTGCATCTGTCATCTGGTTGGTGCAGATAAATAATTGCTCTCCTGGAACCACTGTTGGGTTGCCCTTGCTGCCCAATCCAGTATTACACATAAGCATTTAGAAAGGCTGCTTGAAGTTGGTGGTGGACCAAAATCTGTGGCTGTTGCAAGTGTAGTCCCATTGGACATACAAAATACTTCCTTGATTTTGCTTTATGCCCTAGAGGGGGGAAAAATGAGACCAATTGATTGTATCGTAAATGAAACAGCAGACTAATCATTTGGTCCCCAAAGCTGCAGAGGAACTTTTTTTATATTTGACCTTCTGAAGGTTTGAGTAATTCTAAAGAAAAAAATCCTGAAAGGGTTTGTTCCAGAAGAAACTTTGCACATGGTTTAATGTGAGCCTAGTAATTTAAAATAAAATTACTGATGTAAAGTACTATGTATATCTCCTTGTGTGTATAATATCTCATCTTTAAGTGACTTATTGCACACATGCCATATGTAGCATCCTGAAATCTGTATATTTATTTAAATCTATTGATTTTTTTTTAGACAGTAATTTGCAAAATTCAATTTGTAATAAATAATGACAAAATCAATACCATTTTTCTTCTTTATTTGATGGCTGGGTGGTGGTTGCTGAAGTGGAAGAAATCCAGATGGCCAAAAGCACTGTGAAAGTGAGTGGGACAGCAGAGCTGGGTGAGAATGGGGAGGCTGTCTAGTCTTGTGAATGCTCCTGAGCAAATTTCAGTTTAGAGTGAATCCATCTAGGTGACCTAAATGTTCATTAAGTGAAGATAAAGACCTTGCTCTTTTCCGGATGTCTATGGGAAAATATATGTGAAATTATCTCCAACTTCTTGTGCTGTGGGCTGTGGATGCTGACACCAGCTTGGATCCTTGTGCCAAGGGATCCTTTTTGTGTTTTCCCATGGTTAAGTCCTTTGCCTCCAATCCTCTTAGCAGCTCTGTAACTGTGGGTGTCAGCATCACAGGGACAGAGCAACCACACACGCTCTCCTACACCTGCCAACTTTTAAATTTGTATTTTGCTGATTTTTTTTTTTTTTTTTGCATACAGTTAAAAAGCCATACATTTGACAGTCGTCTTTGCATCAAGACCACACTGTAGATTATTCTGGTGTAGTTAACTAGTGAATCTCATGGTGCAGCTGTGGAAAGTGAATAAAAAAGACACATTAATGTACTAGCCCGCACTGTGCTTGCTGCATATCCAGAAACCATAGCACTTCTTTCTGGGTTTTCATGGCTCCCTGGGAACAGTGGTTCAAAGAACTTCAGCCCCATCCTTCCTGTTGCCCAACTTTCTTGGCTGAGCTGCATCAGCCATGGCCATGTCTCCACCCTGTGACTTCGTGTTAGAGTGTGTGAAAATCAGATTCCTTCAGATGTTGTTATGAAAATAAGTCCTAGTTTCTATGACTTTAATGATAAAGGTCCATGATAGAAGGGACCTAGAATTACAAGTAAAAGGGAAAAAGATACCCTGAAACACTGCAAAATTTCCTATGTATAATATCTAAGGTGCAATTCTCCCCTCTTCTGCTCCATCTTTTTCCAGAACAGGCCTGGAAATTTTGCCTTTTTGGAGTAATTTCCACAGTGTCCTGTGTGGATTGATTTCCAGTGGTGTCAATAAGGAAGCTGAGGGCTGTTGGAAATTCACTCATTTCCCAGGAAAGGTTTCCCCATCATCTGGAATGTTTATTGAGCCAGCCTTAGGCCCAGCCTTTTATTTGTCTTTCTGAAGTCACAGAAGATCTATAGGCTTACTCAGCCCTTGGTCTCAGAGAGCAAAGCATCCCGGCTCAGGCAGCTCGTGGCCCAGCCAACTGTGAGGGTAATAGCACAAGGGGAGTATCACATTTGCTGGAGGTGGGACCATAAGAAATGCTCTTCAGCCCTGCTACAGTATGTGAGCTTGAAGCAAGACATCCAAACAGGGAGACAGAAAACCTGAACGAATCCATTTATGGATGGGTTGGTTTGGTTTTTTTCTTTTTTTTTCTAGCCCTGAGATCAATGAACAGAGGAAAATTTGACATAGGGCTAAATGATGGAAAGTCTTCCAGGGCAAGCTATCCACATTCACTTGGGGAAACTTTGGACACACCGGTGAGTGCTACAGAAAGAAATACTGGAAGTTAACATATCTGGAAAACCAGTTTAAAAATACCACAGGCCAGACATCCAGCTGAGTCCCCCAAGGCCCTGATCACAAAATCCCAGTAGACCTTCTCGCTAGGATCTTGTTCAGGTGTCCCACCAAATGCTGAGGAACAACCTGAGCCTGGCAGTAACTGCACGGTGTCAACTGGATAATGCCAATATCTGTGCAAACCCCAGCCCTTTGGATACAGTTTTAATTACAAGAGCTAATTAGGTATCACCCAAGGGAAGAAGAGAAGGAAGATGCTTAAAGGCATATTAATTAGGGTGAATAGGGAGAAGAAACGACTGTGCTTATTCTGAGGTTATTGAATTCCGTGATAAAGATTAGCTGAAGTGGGTTGAAGTAGGCATATGTTATAAATTCTCACATGTAACAGAAAAGAACAGAACAACATAACTTGCTTTAAGAGCAAAATCCAGGAAAATCAGGCAACTTCCAAACCCAGTTCTAAGTACAAGTGATAGGGTATCTTTCCTAAGATACAACTATTTCACTGAGCAGTCCTTTTTATGCCTGACAGTTTCCATAAACGTGGACCTCTTGTGCCCTGCATATCACTGACATTTTTACTGCAGTAGGAGCTCCTGAAGAACAGGCTTTCTAGATGGTCTACAGGCAGCTAACTTTTGTTCTGCACAGTGGGACACTTCTGTCCTCATCAGGTTAGGCAATGATTTTTTCTCTGAGACTTCTTTCATATGTTTGTTGAACTGAAAGGTTCTGCTCAGGAGAAGATGTGTTGACATAAAAATAGAAGCATGCTTTGAGTGAGGGGTATTTGGGTGGATGCCTTTTCAATGCCAGCCCTTTGATGCTTCCATGGAAAGAAGAAGCTGTCCATGGCAGATATCTGATTTTCTAGAAGACTTTCCTGCCTGGCATTTTATAATTTTGCACTATTTTGGTCTGGATCACTCTGCAGAAGAGTTGGGCCTTATAAAATAACACCTAGGGTGCAACAGGAGGGGAAGAGACACAATAGTGGGTGCAGGGTCATGCTTTGCCATGGGTCAGCAGCTGGTCCCTGCGCCTTTGATTTCGGCACCTCTGGCCTGAGCTACAAGGTGAGTGGCTCTGTGGAGGCTGAATACGGTCCAGCAGTGTAGACCACCCAGACAGTACTGGTGGCCTCTCCAGCAGCTGCATCTCTATCTATGGGATTCAGTCTATTACAGAAATCTTTCACTCCTGCGTGTGGCTAATGCTGAAGCTAGAAGGCACTGAGGCAGATGTTCTGCAAAAAGGTCTTCTCTCTGGGAAATACCTCCTGTGTGCTGCAATACCAAGCTTAGAATAATGTAGTTCAATGGAACAGAACTTTCTCGGTGTCCTCCACTACCAAGAGGCTCTCCAGTTGTCTCAGCTGTGGCCAGGG